TCCGTCCGTCCGTCCGTCCGTCCGTCCGTCCGTCCGTCTGTCTGTCTGTCTGTCTGTCTGTCTGTCTGTCTGTCTGTCCTAATAGTTCCCAGCACTAAATGTCTGTTATTGTGTCGACGTGCTTCTACTTCTCTTTATTTATTCATACAAACAAAACGTACATTTGATTTTATCTACTTGTCCACCCGTCTCCTCCCCCAGGACCTAGATCAGCTGAAGGCGGCCATGTCTGAGGTGAACAAAACGCTTATCTTCATCAAGGCCGTGGTCAGCAAGGGCAAGACAGAGGTCCTCCCGGGCTCAGCCTCCGTTATCCTGGAGACCGTCATGCACATCTTTACACTGCTCAGATACCCGCTGTTGGCGCAGGAGAGGTGGGTACTTGCTCATGCTCACGCATGTGCATGCACGCATGTACTCATGCACAGACACGCGTATACACACATATACACACATACGCACGTACACACATGCACATATACACACACACGCACACACATGCACATATACACACACACGCACACACATGCGCGTACACACACACACACACACTCTCACTCTCTCTCACACGCTTTACTTTCCCCCTGTTGTTTATGTCTGTTTGTCTTACTTATTCCCAGCACTAAATGACCACCGCGCGCTCATATGACCGTATGTAGTTGCGAGCGCCGTAAAACACCTTACAAAAACAAAAACTAAATGACCATTATTGTGTCGATGTGCTTCCCTTTACTCAGACAAACTGACAATAATGTACCTATCACATCAGATGCATCATTCGGCCACGTGCAGGAATTTATCACAAGACTTTCTATGTATGCCTCTCAGGAAGTTGAGGTTGTTTCAGAATGCTCTCAGGTCTGCTGGGGTAATAATATAGATTGTGAAGTGCATAGAGCTTGCTGTTGAGCGGGGATTTTTGCTATACAAATGCTATCTATATCTATTATTATTTTGATTATTATTATAATTATTATTATTATTATTATTATTATTTTTATTATTATTATTATTATTATTATTATTATTATTATTATTATTATTATTATTATGTACAAACCTCTTGCACAGCAATTCCCTGAGCTCCAGCCAGAGCAAAGTGTGTCAGAACCTGGCCAAGTTCATCCAGTGGACGGACGACTCTCTGGTCGGGGAGAGCAAGGACGGATGTGACAAAGAGAGGGCACAGGATATCATTGATACCTTGTTGGAGGGGATTAAGGTGAGTGGTGAGAGGGGAGGGAGGGGGGAGAGAGAGGGAGAGAGAGAGAGAGAGAGAGAGCAAATATGGATGCGACAAGGAGAAAGTATTGGATATCATTGATATCTTGATGGAGGGTATTCAAGGTAGAGTGGGAGAGTGGGGATATGTAGAAAGAGAGAGAGGGATCATCAAAGATGAATGTGTTGCTAAAAGGATGCAGGGTGTCGTTGATACGTTGAGATGATTAATGAAGGGGGGCGGGGGAGAAGCATTTTAATCAAGCATGTACTGCAGGAATGAATACACGACCATTGCATCTTGCACATTTAGCAGTGATCTTTTAACCCTATCTGTACGTTGTGTTTTACTATCGTATCCATATGATGTGGGGAACTCTGTGCCCCCACTTTCCAAAGAGGAAATTTACTTGTTAATCCGATCCGTACGCTTTGCATAGCAGTCTTTCGAAATGATTTCTGGAGAAGTACTGAAAATTGTAAAGAGATTTTCACACTAGAAGTTTTCTAAAATGTGAAGAATACAACCCTGGGGGTACTAAATGACCCCAGGGCATACGGATAGGGTTAATTAATTGCCTAATCATCTTTTTTTAATCATCCACCTGGGAGAGCTTCCATGTTTCCAGCCCCTGTGAACCCCATCACCTTTGACCTTTGCCATCTGTATCCCTCCAGGAGCTGACCCAGTTGGGTATGGAGAAGATGAGCCAGAGAAAGTCCAGCTCCATGCTACAGACTCCCATCACGAGCCAGCCACTTCCCTCCCCTCCTGCTTCTGCTGATGGGTTAGTTCTTGCCACAAGTTTTGTTCAAATTGTAGCTTTGTTGTTAGAGATTTTAATTTATGTCTTGATTTACTCTATATAAAAAAAATTTGCTTAGTTATTTGCTGCACAACTTTGGTGTTACATATTTAGATTATGTCTTGATTTACTCGGTTTAAAAAGAAGAAAAATTAGCTTAGTAATTTACTGCTCAACTTTGGTGTTGCAAAGTTTGTTTACATCTTGATTTACGTTTTATTTTTGTGTGTGTGTGGTTGGAGGGCGCCATTGGTAGGTTCTATGTCTTCATTTTTCCACCTGTTTTTTTCTGTCTGTCTGTCTGTCTGTCCGTCCGTCCGTCCGTCCGACTGTCTGTCTGTATGTCCGACTGTCTGTCTGTCTGTCTGTCTGTCTGTCTGTCTGGCTGTCTTACTTTTTCCAAACTCACTAAGTGTGGATGTACTTCTGTCTACTCCCAAAAAATTTTTTTTTAAAATTACTCTATTCTTTTCAGATTGTAGCTTTGTAATTTGGTTTTACACCCTGATAAACTCATTATAGGTCTTTTAGGAAGTGTGACTGACTTGAGGTTTGTGGGGTATGTTGTATGTTCTAACTGAAGATATGGGTCCATGATTTGTCTGTATCAAGTGAGTGGGAGACGTAGTGAAAAAGAGTCTTAATTATTGCTCCATGGATACTATAAATGAGTGCGTTGACGTACATTGACCTGATAATATCCACATGAGCTTTACTTTACTTTACTTTTCCGATCCAGCGACCTTATGGGTTCTAGCCCTTCGGTCTGATCCACATGAGCTTAAAGCATTATCTCTCTCAGGACATGAAGTGTTGTTTAAAACTGCAGGTTCTCAGAATATGTTGAAGAACTATGTTGGTGGGACAGCTTTTTTTCAATGGATAGGCAATGGTGCGTGTCCTTTAGCAAGATCAGTGTGCATAAGCTTGAAAGATTATGGTGTAACTCCGTAATGGCTCTAATGTGTTTGACATGATTGAACTTTTACTCTTTAGTACTGCGTAATATTGTATGCTGTAAATATATACAATATGTTTGTGCTTTTGTCAGCTAAATCTCCCCAAGAACGAAAAATAGTTAAGTTGTAAATGCGCTTGACAGATGTTAATTATGGCATTTAAAACCATGACATTTAATGAAGATGATCATATATTTATAATCTGGAGGGGGCTCTTGTGGCCTAGAGGTTAAGGTGTTGGCCTCTCATTCAAAGGTCCCGGGTTCTAATCCGGGCAGCGATCGAAAAATTTTCTTCTCTAAAATTGTCTCCTTTCACCTCCTTTCCTAATGAAATGGATAGTTGGGCACCACTGGTTACTAGTAGGTCCTACTTCTTTGCTTTCCCTCTATTGTTTCTGTCTGTCTGTCTGTCTGTCTGTCTTACTTTTTCCCAGCTATAAATGAACATTATTGTGTCGACGTGCTCTTTTTATTAAAAAAAACCCAACCCAAAACAGCATCCTCAAACAAACAAACAAACTAACAGTGGTTGGTTGGCGGGTGCTCTGGTGTGGTTTGCTCCTTCTTTCCTATCAAACATCTATCGTCTCTATCTCCCTCCCCTTCTTTTCTGTGTTTGTTACTCTCTTGTAACACCTCTAATCTTCTCAGCACTTATACGACCTTATTGTGTTGCAAGTGCTGTAAAACACTTACTATAACAAACAAACAAACGAACAAACATCCTAAATAACAGACCCCCTAACCGCCCCTCCTCTTTCCAGGTCCTCGGACATTCCCTTGTCCTCGCGAGAGCAGGAGATCCTGGCCCAGACGGGCGGCTGCGCGTACGACAACCTGAGCGCGGCCTCGGGCCAGCGGGGCAGCAACGCCAGCTCCGTCTTCTCCTTCGACTCCAGCTCCAGCACAGCTGACTCGGCCGACATGCCCCCGCCCAAGCCGCCCCTGCCCCAGGGTTCCAACCCTGTTCTCAACAGGTGATTTCTTCCCTCTCTCTCTCTCTCTCTCTGGTGTTTTGTGGGTTTGGTTGGTTGGTTGGTTGTATTATTGTTGTTGATGTTTTTGTTGTTGTTTTGATTTTGATTTTTTTTTTCTTCTTTTCAGCATTTAAACCCCTGTACTTTCGCTTTTTGAGTTATTTTGGGTATTTTTTCTCGACCCGTTTACTCCTGTGTCTGTCACTCATGCATACACACACTCACACGCACACACACACCCACATACACATAGGTGCACACGCACACACATACGCACATACATACGCACACACACACACACAAGCATGCACTCTCACTCACACACACACACACACGCGTGCGCACACACACACACACATTCACTCGCATGCAAATGACACTTACAAGCATTTGCCAATTGTACTACATGGACTTATGTATATCGGTACAGAAACTGTTCAGTTTTTAGAGTTATTGTAAATTTTCTCCCATTTTCCTCGCATGTTGCATGCTGTCTATGGTGCATGTGTAGAGGTTGCACTTTTGTGTTGTAGTGCAGTTTTTTCCTCAATATGGAGACAAGGGCTAGGGATTTGTTGTATTTTGGATCCCTAGGAGCTAAGGGTGATACTCCATTTAGGAACTGATAATTACCTTTAATTAGATCCAATTTGCAAATAAGACATAAGATAAAACTGTTTCCACAATAGCAAAAGATTTGTGGTGAAATCAGGCGCTAGTCAATTTTTGGCCATACGGAGTTCTTAAAGGGTGTTTTATTTTTCTTGCTTTAGATGAAAAATGACCCCTTTGTCTTTTATAGAAGTCGAGATGCTTTGGATTGAAAGTGGTGAAGGTCACACGGTTTCAGAGGTAAAATTAGCGAGAAAATGGCCACTAAAATTTCATAATTACCAAAGCTTGAGAGTCCCTGAAAACTGTAAATTTGCATTATATCGTGTGCCTTTAATGCCCGTTTTTACGGTATAATCCACTCAGCAATGTATTTTTTAATGGACGTAAAAGGTGTTAAGCCAAAGGAAAAAGAAAGAGTAAAGGCTGCCACACGGGAAGAAAAGAGCTGTTTTCTTTGAATTCATTGATCCAGTCAATGGGTAGAGGAGGGGAGATCAATCCATAATCTTCCAACTTAGAACACAACATGTACCCCTCAACCAACCTCTCAACCGAATTGGAGTAAAGCAGTCTGCTGCCTGCCCACTATGTGACTACCCCTCAGAGACAGTGGAATATCATCTGTTCTTCTGTAGAAAACTAACTGATTTAAGGGGATGTTTTCTTCCCAAGCTACCCCACACATCTAATTGCCTCTACTCCTCAAGACAACAATTACAACAGACATGCAGCTATTACCGAATGACATCATGCAGAAGAGTTAACGCTCAGATGCTACTGGATCGCTAACAACAACTACAACAACTTTGAATTCATTATCTTGACGAGCGCCTGATTACACTATGATGCATCGCATTTGCTTGCTCAGAATATCGCTGAATTTGAATCGGAGTTCATGTTACTCTCTGTCCGTGGTATGACCTTATGCAGTTGCGAGCGCCGTAAAACCCTGTACTACTAACTAGACATTTTTTATTGTTTGGGAAAATGTATCAAAATAATAGCCTGCTTCTTACAGGCTCAGTTCTCATAATAATAATAGCTTATAATGTGTACTTCTGCTTAATTTTCATAGAATTGGGTAAGTCATTCTCATAGGGGAGATATTAACATGTTGTTATGCACAGTAGAATAGTAAATGGGCTGATTTATCATTGTCATGCTCATACTGTGCCGAAACAACATAGGGGGAACAGCTGCTTTTTCTTTCCTCCAACCTTACTATCGTCATTTTACCTCTACTTCTTAATCTCTTGTAACACCTCTAACTTTTGGTAATTATATGACCTTATTGTGTTGCAAGTGCCGTAAAAGTCTCGTACTGAAACTAAAT